CAGTAACGGAATAAGACTAAGTACACCATTTGAAACCCACTGACAGTTATGGCATGTGAGACGTAGCGGTTGGCGAGCAGGAATCAGGTCAGGTTGGCGTACGCGCAGCGTGCACATCAGGCAGTGAGGCGTCCTGGCTCATGGTGATACTGTTGTGCGCTTCTCTCGCACATCCAGTGGCCCTCCCAACCACGCTGCGGTGGGTGGTGCCGAGTCACCGGGGGTGGATTCGCTCCATATTACCCCACCGTCAAAAATGATAACTTGAGCTCATCTGCTAAACACAACGTCCTCCTCATTTATCATAAATGAGCCATAAACGAGGCCAAACATTCCTGCCTCTAAAAGCTCGCACACAACCCGTATTGATCTCTGCGCTGCAGCCGTGCAGCTCCTCACTTCCTGGCTGATGTTGTTGCTGGGGCGACAGCTAAATTATGCAACAGTGCCGGCTCAACAGACCGGCTGCAGTGCTCGAGCAGCAGAAGCAGGGCTCAAGGGTGGCAAACGACGAAGGGGCTCGGCAGTAACAGATGCACCCCCCACCCCAGACACCAGATTTGGACCAATGTGGGTCCGTTTGCCTTTGATGGCCACCACTTCTATTGAGTCAAATGTATCCCTCGCACAAGTTGTAGTCTAGCTTCTTGTGTTCTGCCTGGGCAAATGCAAGTGCTGCTTTTGCACTGACTTACTTAGGCCATGTCCATACTACTCCGTTCTCATTTTAAAACTAAAACGATCTCCGTCCAAATGGCATTTTCAGCATCGTTTTCGAATTGATCTCCATCCAGACGAAAATGAATATCACATGCCTATTCACGTGCACTGGGCATGCGCGTGGGTGCCGGTGTAAACAGGAAGTAGATTGGTTGCTAAGTTAAAAAAAATACGACAGAGTAATAAAGTAGTCTTTAATAATGAAAGGTCGTGTTTGATACTTAAGATCTTCTCTAAAATCTTTCTCTATAAACTCAAAACAGACACATTTCGTGGAAAGTTTTAGAAGTTTTATTTTTCATGCTTAACATTAGTTACGGCACTGCGGGTCTTGCTCTATCTCTCTCTCTCTCTCTCTCTCACACACACACATCAAATTCACTTTAAAATCAACACTTGCACATAAAGGTTTACTAGATTATGGGTCCATGAATGTGGTCAACCCACGTCTCTCACTCGTTTCCTCTCGGTTTCGTTGTCTGTTCTCACTCGTAGCTCTGCTGGTGGCTGAAGTCTCTGTCGTACTGGAGAGCAATTCATGTTTTGTTCCTTTATAGTTTGTGTGTGTGGACTTCACAATAGTTGTGCAGAACAAAATCAGCATTCATAAGGACAGGAAAGTCCTCCGTTTTGTGTCCATCAGCCTCCCTAAAGCTGCTAACCGTGACTTCAGACAGCCACTCCGTAGCGCTGATAACGCCGCTAGACACGCCGCTCGCTAATCGCTCCAATAACAGCTGCTTCCGCCGCAGCAATGCATAATTTAACTGAACAACAGCTGCTAGTAAAAACAACAAGGTCAGCATCGCCTGTAATCAGTTCTCCATGTTGAATTAACCTGGTAGTCGATCGGTAATCAATGTTGTTGTTTGTGAGCTTCCGGGTAAGGGTCACGTGATAGAGGTGTGACGAATCAGGGAAGGACACGTCGTGACTGCTAAGAACCAATCAAGTAGCGAACGCGGGTGTGGGCGTCATCGTTTCCAAACTTATTTGGTTTCGGCCGTCCACATGAAAATCAACCCGGAGTTTTCAAACTTATCCGTCTTCGGTGCTCGAAAACACCGGCGTAGTGTGGACGCTCAGTGTAAACGTAGCAAAACATATGCGTTTTCAAATGGAAACGGAGTAGTGTGGATGTAGCATTAGTCTTCAATGATGAAACGGCAACATTTTCCATCTTATCCTGACCTGGTTTGCAGCATTTCCTCAATAAAACCTCTCTGATCCGACCCTAATGACAAACTGCAAATCTAATCAGACCGTAGGGGGTAATTATACAGCCTCTTGTAATAGAGCCCGCTAACTGCATTACCTTGTACAATCAAAATTGACTTATGTTCTTGGCTGTTAGTTTATGTGACCCGATGAAAAAGGGAACCGAATTGTGTAATATTAAGCATTCGAGATACAATTGTCTTCATTGAATCATGGGATATCGATTACACAAGAGCACTAATGCAATGCCCCAATTGGGAATATTTCAAATGTGGCCCCCGTTCTGTCAACTTGATGCCTCGTTTCAAAGCCTGCCGAGCGCTCCTGAAACGTATTATTCAGCCTGGTGATGCGATGGGCGATGGACTCATGTCGGTTTCTAAGTCCTCTTGCCTTGTCATTACTCTCCCACTGTGATCATAGCAATTCAAATGTAGACGCGCTCTGCTCGCGGCCTCCACTTCGTCTCATTTGTCAGAGGACAGAGTGCCACGGGGGGAACAAACAGCGTGTGAACGGAAAACTTGTGAGCCTTGCAGATCGAAAGCCACTGCTTTCCCACACACATACACGCGCACGCACACACACACACACGCGCACGCACACACACACACACACACACGGTCTCTCAGATACAGTCAATCCAACCGAAGCTCTGTCACAATCATTACAGTGTGACGTAAAACACAATCTGTGTTCCGCACTCATATTAAAACTATTAATCAGAGAGGGATTATCACAAGGAGCGTTAGGGGCCTTGTGTACGTCCATATGCGAGGAGGAGGGGTGGGGGGTGGATTACAGGGGTCACGCAGCCTGTGTCCCACAGCAGTGGAGGCCAAAGTGCTGAGGCCGGCCGGCTGCCCACCCTAGCCCTCTACTCTCCACCCGACGCCTTTGTCCATCCCCTTGTTTGACAATTATTTACTCTGCTGTTTAGGACAGGGCTGAGGTCACCGCACATACATCACTGACATGAAAACACTGGCTACCCGTGTCTGTCCACCCCCCCCCCCCCATCTGACCTGTACAGGCCCCTTGCTACTCATACACTCAAAACCCTTTGGAGTACAGGACTACAAGACAGACTAATCAAACGGTCGTCAGTCAAATGTTGCTGCTGGTGGCAACTGCGGTGTGTCACTCGTGTTCCACCCATTGTTTAGGAGCTACATGTGACCCTTAAGTTACATCACATATTGTTGAACTAGCAAATAGACATGGACGTCCAGTTTGTCTGCTACAGATGAAATCAGCAGCCACGCTCTGTATGGTCTGCTGTGGCTGCATCGCAGTCCCCCTTTGCGGTGCTTTGGGTAAAAAGCCTGTGACTGGCCACATGAAATATAAATGTTAATGTAAATGGTCCTGCGTGCTAGCCATCCCACCTGGTCTCTTGTCACTGCTTTTTTTAGAAAAAGCTGCTGTCAACATTATTATAAGTGATCTGTATTTGCGGCATCTGACAGGCTCGTCTTTGGCCTCTTGAAGACAATGACATCAAAAAAAGAAAAACTGTTCCAGTGCCTCCACTGTCCCCCTCCCCCTACAGCGGTGCAACCTGAAACTGCCTGAAGAGATGAGCCGTCATTAAATACTGCAGAGCTGACATAATGACAGGAAAGATAAAAGAGAGGAAACCAAAAAAAAAAAAAAAAAAAAAAAAAAAAAAAAGGCCAGACCAATTCTCATCCCATAATGCCTCCCCCAACCCCCAGGCTCGGCCCGTCTCTCCTAATAAAAGACACCGGGCCACAGATAGGGCTCTGGTCAGCTACAACTTAGCTGCTGAGATCTTCCGCTCCGACAACATTCACACAAAGCCTGGCCACCTCGCAGCATAATACTGCTTCACGCTTCCTGACGCCTATGAAAACAATGCAATGAAACTCCATTCCATACAACATTGATATTCATGCAATGTTTTTAAAATCTTCTCCTGCAAATCCCTGTAAGGGCAGAGGCTCTGGTTGATATACAACAATAATAAAACTAAGACTACTACTGCTCCTCCTCCTCCCACCCCTATACTACTGCCTTCCCTAAATTAGGAAATGTGGTCTAGAGAAGCACCATTCAAAGACATTTGCCTTTAAATAGACAGTAATAAAATCCAGACACATGATAGTCGAGCACCCTCAGCCCACTGATCAAGCTCAGATTTGTCCTCTGACACTGCCCACTCTTGTGCAACTACAGCTTTTTATATCACCCACATGCTGCTGCTGAGCTCTCTTTAACCTGCTACGTCTCAAGCCATGATGCTGAACCACATGTAGCTGGGGCTTGGTTCCCAGTTGGCATTCCAGCGTTTTGTAACACTGTGCTGAGGCAATATTTACCTTCAAGGGAAAGTGCACTTGGCACACAGCCGAAAATCTTGGGTTGGGGCGGGCGGGGGCAGGTTGCTACTGTGTACTACATCCAAACTTCCCACCCACCCAAAATCCTTGTGCTGACCCGGCCTACCACCCACAGCCTCACAGCAGCAGTCCTGCCCTGGCTGACTCCACTACCTGGATCAGAGCCAAACCAGAGCCTGAGCAAAGTGCCAAGAGGGACAGAGAACGACACACACACACACACACACACACACACACACAATGTGAGCGCAGAGAGAGAGAACTAGTGAGTGTGAACAAATTGCTCCCCAGCCTGGCCCTCTGCCAGGAATCACTTAGGGAGGATTGTTAGCCACAAAAGCCAATCGGCGGTCAACCATCCACAGAGATTTGAATTGTCTCACGATTAAAAAGCTGGAGAGGTTTGTCACACGGTCAAGATTAAGCAGTTACTCACAGCAGGGGGCTGGACTGAGATATCAAACAAAAGACTCAACGGGGGGGTGAACAGTGAAAAGGCTTTACCCCTTTCAGGGTCACAATGAACAGTGTTGAACAGATTAGGATTGGCAGAGGGATATCTTCATGTCCAACTTTACACACCTGACAAGAAGCAAGCTTTGGTTTGAGGGGCAAAGACATAACTGGGTGAAGACTCAAAGAGGAATTGACGTAATAAGGATGAAATGGTGCGGCTAGGAGCCAAAGCAGGGCACTAACCTGTCTGAAGTGATCATCAAAGCCCCAGTCGGCCTGTCCGTTAGGAGAGGTAGCAGAGCGAGGCCCCGCAGGAGACAGGCCCTCGTCGGGTTCCTGCTTCACTCTGATGGGTGGGGATGGGGCCCTCTGGGGGGCCGACGCAGAGTAACTGCCAAACGGCCGGGCCGGGATGCGGGACGTGCTCTGCCGCAAGGCCAGGGTCTGCTTGCGGAGGAACTCCAGACCGCTGGCACTTGCCTCATCCTCATCGCTGCCCTCGTCCCCCTCCATCATCTCATTGTCGTCCTCGTCATCGTCCCCAGAATCCCGGCCTCTGTCCTCGTCATCCTCCCTTTCAGAGTCCACACTGCTCTGATTGGAGACCCTGGGAAGCAACCCGCCACCGGGGACCACCCCAGCCAGACCTTTGCCCATGAAGCTGGCCCCGGACACCCGGGCGGCCGCCAGGATGGCCTGCTGGGCAGCAACCTGCTGAGCATACATGATGTGGGCCTCTCGCAGCTTCCTCTCCTTGCGCTCCATTTCCAGTCGGGCCTGCTGCTGGCGCTGGAGCTGCTCCATGACCGCCTCCAGCTTCATCCCCCCTGTTGAGGTGCTCTGAGGAAAGGCCACACCAGGCTCCTGAGACATGCTGGGCTGTGGGAGGAAGCGAAGGAGTCATGGATGACATGCTGAAATCTAATTACCCCTTTATCTCATTAGACAGGATGAAATGAAAACACATGTAACGGCACATGCACCCCACCACAAAAACACAATAGACAAAGCTAGACTTGAACTGAGGAGCCATATTTGTACATAATACCATAAAATGGATAATCCAACCATATCCTTTCCATCAGGTTCCTGCAGCTGAAGCTTGCTAAATTGGAATTCCTTGCTGTAAAGTCGCTTTAGTCAATGTTTATACGGAGGAACTTGGAAAATCTTCAGCATTACAGGAATAAATCTGGCTATACGTTCTAACATACACAAACGAGATGTGTATTCTCCATGGTGGCTTAGGCTTTCAGCTTTTACATAGAAACTCAAAGGTGGAAACAATGAAGCAGGACAAATCGCCAACACTGTCTGCAGCCAAACCTTTGCAAAAAGGACTAAAGCAATCCTGAAGAAAGTGTCAGGTTTTAGTGAGTCCACACAGACATCACAGCTGCGTATAAACGTTGAGGCAGCGAACCACCATTCTTTGGTACTACCAGAGGAGGAAAAATTAGTTATCCACTAACTAGTATTACTATGAGTTATTGAATGAGTAGTACATTGACTTCTCACATCCAAGTGCTATCAGCATACACGTTTGAACGCCTTTAAAAAAAACCAAGGGGTGTAAAATTGGCCCCAAATATTGCGTTTTAGTCAGATGGTCCTTCATATAACTAGGTTAGCTAACCAGTGTTCAAACTAGCTGGTTAAGCCGAGAGAAAGATGACCCGATTCTAAATAGCCTCGAGAAGAAACGTCAGTGTTAAATGAAAAAAGGATGGTAACCCGGACATCTTAATAAGGCACACAATCACCCAAGAGAAAATAAATGAGTTTAAAGTGTAAAAAGAAAAAGTGTACACCTTTTCCGCATTAGCTAACGTCAGCTGCCACATCCTCAATACGTAGATAGCATATGCGTAACGTTACGTTAACAGGTTTTAGGATAAGTTCGCGCACAAAACGAGCGAAAGTGGAACATTAACGGCATTATCTACAGAGATGCATTGCGGTGTTTTCCGTAAGACTCTAACGTTAAAATGAGTAAAGAAGTAACCTACCATAAGGTAAAATTAGCTCTGAAAGTTTCCCTTCTTTTTCTTACGATAAATGTCCCGTTGAGCTCGCGAACGTTAACTCTTTCCCCCGTAAATAAGGCGTCAGACCGCGACTATCGGAGGACGTTGAGCTCGTTACGGACCAGAGACAATGTAGAAGGGACGCCAAGCATTACCACCACTCACCATTTGTGCCTTACTACTGCTCGAGTTGTCCACCATCCCTCCTTCCTTCCTCGGCTTTCTCGTCCTTCCCTCGTTTGTGGCACTCGCTCAAACACTTGTAAACACACACACGCGCGCGCGCACGGGTGCAGAGACGCTGTGCATGCACCGGAGATAGCGACTGATCTGCTTTATGCTCTCTTCTGCAGCGACCTCTCTAAATGTACCTGTGTTTCTGTCTTTTTCTTTTCTTTTCTTTTCTTTTTCCACCCCGATGATTTTCTTCTTTAATGGGAAAGGGGACCGCCTGGAAAATGGCCCGATCTCATATCTCGGAGAGCGCTGAGGTAACTCCCTTCAGTCGTTTTTTTTCTTTTTTTCCTCCCCTTCAACTGACACCCCCCGCATGGCCCACATCAGTGTTAGGGCCCGCCCAGCGACAGCAACATGTCTCGCAGCCTTTTCAGGTCCATGACACTATTTATTGAGTAGGTTCACCCATAATGGAACACGAGATGTAGGTATATATGGTATATAAAAGTAGCATAAGCTCAATTAAAATGCTTGGAGCAAAATTGAGAACTAGTCATTTATCTGCATGCTAAATAACGTTAGGAGTGATTAGGGTGCAATGTTTAATTAAATAATACACAAAATAAAAACCTCACAAGGGGCCAAACAGTGAAGTGCAGTAGGTATTGTATTGAGAAAAGCAGCATGGCTCCATGCTGCCCTCTTGTGGCAACAACGACTACCACGTTTATAATGGTTAGTGCAACCACCACACATTACTCATTAAGATCATAGAATCAAAAAGCTCCATTGATATACTAACTCCTTACACAATCTCTACCGGAAATAACTGTAATCAGAGTCATACACATGGAAGTATAGATAATAGCTTTATTTTAATAATGTAAACCAATAAACACTACAATCAAATAAAAAATGAAAGATTAGTGTTTACCGTCATAAAATAACTAAGTTATTGCATTTAGCACTCAATAACACCACATTGTCACAATGTTGTATAACAAGCAGATTGTCCCAACAGTTGCATAGTACAGGTGAGTCAAGTGTACTTGCTACTGACCACTGGTGTTAAGTGCAATATTTGTGTACAGAGAAACATGGTGCAGAGCCAGGGCCGGGGAGAGGGCAATACACTTTAAAATGCAGCTGTTGCATTTACCTCACACTAGGAGAATCCGCTTTTATTTCTAAATCACCCACATTAGAACAATGGAGTGCGCTGAGGAGAAACTGAACATCACTCACGTTGATAATGTAACATTTTCAACACCTGGCTTCAACGGGATTTGTGATTAGATCCCGACTCTTGGAAGTACAAATCAAGGTTCCTACTGTTTCCTATCACAAAATACTCTTTCCAGTCCTTGTAGTCCTTTATGGTGGTCAAGTGGTCTGCTATACTTTTCATTTATATGACAGAGTTACGCCTTGTAGCAGCACAGCGTGAGAAACAGCAATGTGGCCTGTAGGTACGTAAAACAGCCTCCACCCATTTGTCTGGTCTTAAAACCTCGATGCACTAAAACAGCAATCTTCAAACTCACTGTTTTATTTTACTAATTTGTGTAAAAGGCAAATTACTTTCTAGTTGCTCACTCATACATATATACACACACACACACACACACACAAAATGAATCTCCTGAAAAAGTGATCGCCGTCACTTGCTCTGATATGGAACATTTTTTGTTAATGCACACTTTAAAAAATACAATATGACCCAGACTGCAACAAGAGTGAACACATACATGTTTTTAAAGTGGGAAAAAAAAAAGGACTTCCATTTTCAGCACACTCGTGTCTATTGTGTTGAAAACGGACACATCACAAAAAATAATACAGACACAGACTGATGTATGCAAATATAGGGAGCAAAAAACAAGTGTAGACAAATACCTTAATCCTTATGCAAATATGGTTTACTGGTTCTGAGCTGTAACCACGTCTAGTGTCCCCGATGAATATACTAATAAATAAATAAAGTATTGTAACTCAAATATGACCTCCACACACACTCTTGATGTGTTTAAGATGACAGAAAAAGTAATCTATAAAATCTATTCTTGAATTCTTTCCATCCAAACAAAATTGTTTTCTTAAAAAAAAAAAAAGGGGAATTTAAATTAGAAACATACAGATGTCTAACCACATACACAAATGTCTTTAGACGACAAGATCACTTAAATGAGGATCTGGAGCTAAACTTATTTCTACAATACAGAGATTGTAAATCTAACAGGTTCTTCTGTCAAAGCACTTGAGTAACTCATCTGCTTACAGATTTGTGCCGTACACGGCGGTGTAACATTTGGAACTCTTACAAGCCCTGGATCACTTTGGGGAACTTGTTTCTTGGTATGTAGCCGTTTGTTCAATGACAGCTTGTAAAAAGTAATTAAGTCTTTGTCTTCTCAGAGCCACAGAACAAATAAGATGGGAGGAGCAGAAGATAATCCTGGGCCAGGCTTCTTTTCTACACTTCAGGTTTTTTGAGATAGCAATATTAGCTGAAAAAAAGGAATAATTACACTTGTGCCAAAAAGTGGTTTCACTCAATCATCTGACGACCCATTTCAATTTAGTGCTCTGCTTCATAAAAACAAAAAAAAAAACAAAAAAAAACAAAACATAGAATGAAGTTATTCTGCTTGTTAGACGAGGTGTCATCGGAATTTGTAATGACAGAGACATTAAAGAAAAACAATAAACATCCAGTTAATGCAACAATAGTCAAGGAATGTAAATGATCATGTGAGGCTTCATATAGTTAGTTAATAACTGGAAAATGAGCGGGAAAAGACAGTAACCATTGGGTCAACGAGGACATATCCCATGGTGTGCACGACCACTCTCTTTGGAGCACGGGCATAGTTAGCATTTCATGAAGTTCAATAAAAAGAGGTCAAGCTTTGGGGTCACAGTGAATAAGGCTTGTTTCTCATGTCCGTCTGCGGGGGGTTTTTTCGCGTGGGTTGAGCGATCTCTGTGCACGTGGTCCTGCATCAACGGGGAGTTTGGCTTCAGAGCTGGAAGTCCTCAGGCAGCACAGCGGCAGAGCTGGGTTAGAAAGAGGGCCTCAGGCACCGGTGACTAAAGTCAGGGACAGGAGCTTTGTAGCGGTTGGAGTAGCGGCACCGGGCATCACTGCGTGGTGCAGGACGGGCCCTCGGGGCAGCAGCACACAGAGGAGCCCATGGCTTTGGGCGGGATCAGGTCCAGGTCCTCGTCGTCGGGGATCTCATCCAGGCGGTAGCCGTCCTGGAGAAGCTGCTTGCTTAAATCAGGGTGGACCTGGAGAGCAAAGACATGACGTCGCTATAACACACATAACCAGAGTAAGATGGCTGAACCTGGTACACATCTCAGGTTAATCTGTGTATACGATGACTTTCTCACACCCCGGGATTACTTGTGCCTGTTTCTGGGACCCAAACTTAATACATGTTGTGCCACTGAGCAAAATCTGGTTACTTCATATACTGAAGACATAAACGGTCTCAACAGTAATGTGTATGATGTTCCTCATGGTCCTAACTTACACATTGTCATGTGCACTCTCATTTTGCAGTTTACTGTGAACCTCAAACATCAGACAAGCGAGTTGTTTTCATTTAACAGCAGCTATGTTGTTTACAAAGCAACAAGAATTCTCATATTTGTGTAATGAGCTCACCTTAATGCTTCTAAGGCACTTGGACATCTATAAACTGATTATCTAGACAAAGAAAGACATCTATCTAATTAAATTGAGTTTAGTTGTCAGTGATGCAAACAGTCCTCTGTTAATGTTCAAACTCTATTTCCGTGGTGGGAAACACCCACACTCAGTCCCCTTCAAATGCACTATACAAATATTCATGCCCCACCAATGAACTTTAAACTTCCTCCACAGCAATGCGAGAAAACAAGTAAGACTGAGCTCCACTAAAAGGCAGCGCAAACAGCCCGAGCTACATATCTGAGGTCAAGGAATAGCCAGAGGTTCAGTGTGTGTGTGTGTGTGTGTGTGTCTGAAAGACAAAAATAGTAGGGTCAAAAATAATACACACTTTGTTCTTACATTTGTTGATGCACAGTCAGTCAGTATATACTATATACTGTTCCGACAACATGTATGAAAGCAAGCAAACAAAGACAAGATCTGGCCCAAATTCTAAATGTTTGATTTACTTATAGCGGTTTATATGAGTTGTTTTATGTAAATTAAATCACTTTGAGACAAACCCGTTCCTTTTGACCCCTTATATATTAACTGGTTGGCAAATGTGAATAGTTTGGTGGCAGAATTATCCTACAAAAAAACACTTGAATAATTTGCCACTTTTTCATTGTGTGGAAACTGTGCGCGCTGACTTTACCAAAGCCAAAGCGATGTGTATGTGAAAGAAAAATAGAGCCACGGGTTATAATAACACAAATGATCTTTGAACATACATGGATGGCCCAAAAACAGATTGTTGCATACCACACAGCTATAGTCACACAGCCGGTTAGACTGTGTGGGGAGTGAGATTACGAAAGCAGCCGAAGAAGGTCCCAAGGAGCAAACTCACCTCAGCTGAAGAGTATCCTGAGGAATACTGCTCAAAATCGATCTCTTCATCGCTGTAAGGACAAGCACGACAGGTTCTGTCACTCTGAAGTTAACAACTGTGTGTGTGTGCGTGCGTGTTAACTGGAAAGGTATGCTGGGAAGATGCCAAAAATTCAAACTTGACAATGTAAAACATCTACTGTTGCCACTAAGAAGCGGTAAGAGTAGATCAGCAAGTATTTCAGGTCTCAGTTTACTGCAGGAATTCAACAATGCCGTCACCTGTATAGAGAGGCGAAGTCCCGCCCCTTCTGGTGGACCATGAGACCTTTTTTCGACCGTAAGAGAAAATATTTTTTTGAACCTGCTTGAATTGCGCCGTGAATTACACATTTAGCAGTTAAAAAGATTATTTTGCATGTCAACAGAGTCGCATTTTGTCCTAAAACTGTTGAAGTATGTGTGTGAAAATACGTAATTACAAATACTTCACACCAGGCGGCAACCTCCGGTTCTGCCGAGTGAAGTCGTTAAAACTTGCATTCTCTCCACTGACCATCAGGGGGCGACTCCTCTGGTTGCGAAAAGAAGTCAGATTGTATAGAAGTCTATGAGAAAATGACTCTACTTCTCACTTGATTTATTACCTCAGTAAACATTGTAAACATGAGTTTATAGTCTCAATCTCTAGTTTCAAGTCTTCTCCAATACAACATGATGTTCATTTAGTACATTATGGTCCATTTAGAGTCAAGTAGAGTATGCTTTAGGGCAGGGCTACCTTGTGATTGACAGGTCGCTGCCGCCACCATATACGGCGTCTCTACCTCACGCCTCCGCATTACAGATATGGTAACTTCATTAGTTAGTTCATTAGTTGCCAAAAAAAAAAAAACAGACATGGCGACGGCCGTAATTCAACATGGCGACGGCGAATTTGCCAAACTCAAGGCTTCAAAACGGCATTCCACAAACCAATGGGTGACGTCACAATGACTACCTCCACTTCTTGTATACAGTCTATGGTGAAAATACGTAATTAGAAAGACTACAAAAGTTGCGTAAGTGACATCTGTCGCTGAAGCTACGATACCTGTGTGTTTCGAGCTAAGCTACCAACCTAGCAGGCAAGTCAAGGTAGCGTCCATGTTGGTGTTGGTGACATTCATTGTGCGATGATGTCTTTCAGTGAGCGGTCTCACACAAAACCAAATGACACAATAATCAAACTGCGACTATGTTTTAAATTGACAAATTTCATATGTGTAATTCATGGCAGAATTCGAGCGAGATCCACAAAAAAAAAAAAAGATTTGCCTTATTCTGTTGACTAGCATCCGTCCCATGGTGGGCACCAGAAAGGGGAGGGACTCCGCCTCCATTCCTGGTGTCACCTTACCTGTCTGAGTCCATCGCAACCAAAGTGTCTTCAGCGTGCTGACTCAGAGCAGCGTAGCCCTTGTTATACTTCACAGTCCTAAAAGGAGAACCAGAAACTGTCAAATAAATCCTGCCAAACAAACATCTCCTTCGCTGCTTTAAGCTCACATCAGCTTCGTCTTTCCTCATCGTACCTCTTCGCTCCTTGCCTGGGCTGATGCATCACCGGAGGTCCTGGTGAGAGGGCTTTCTTCTTCAGCGCCTTCCTCGCCATCTCCCTGTGTTTCTCTGTAAGAAACATGTTGTGTGTTAACTGGGACTGACTGGATGAGAGTCAAAGCAAAAGGTGTAGGACTTCCTACACCCTCTCAGCAAGAGTGAGGTCTTTGAGAGTGACTGACGTCACTGTGTTATGATAATCGGGCCTATAGACAAAAATCAATGATGGTGTTTTGCAATGTTTTTTAGAAGTCATGGGGCAGATTCAACACGTTTAAATGACTGAACAAAAATTTGATCAAGGTAAAGAAAAACATAAATCAACATTACCTGTATGACATGCTACTCATATAAAGAGCTCACTGCAAAAAAAATAGAATGTACTGGATTTTCTTTTTTGTGTCTTTTTTTATGTTATCGTGTAGAAGCTTGTTGTTATTTTGTGTATCTCCACACCTGCTGGTATGTGTGTGCATGTTGGTCCTATCATTTGCCTCTTACTAGGGTTATTTTTGCCATTGCTAGAACACATTTCTGATACTAGGGCCTTCTTTGTCAAAACTCTACACATGAAGACCAAAAACACACACAAGAAAAACTACAAACTATCTTACATTTCTTGCAAAAGCAAACACTTCATTCCACACTATATAAACTCTTCAAAAAAAAAAAAAAAAATGGTATTTTTGCATCACGACTTAACACACCTACAGAAAATAAACAGCTCTTCCCACATTCCAACTGCACTCTGATGTTCGGAATGTAAAACACTATTATCTAAAGTATTTTGCTATCTTCAATTTACCATATTATACTGTAAACAGTATACATTATATTGCAATGCTTTAACTCTCTTGCCAAAATTGGCCTCCATTGTTGCACACACCAAAGAGCAAAGCTGAATGCTATTCACACTGTGCGTTCCAATACCCATACTACCATCCTATGTCAGAAAAACATTTAGCATGTCCCAATATATAGTATGTCAAATGAAGTATGTCGGAAACACCCTACTGCATCCGGCCACATTTTGCAGTATGCAAGCCAGCAAGAGGGTCAAAGTTCAAGGTGCAATGTTATGAGAAAGTAGTATGTTCCAATTGCATGCATACAGCAGTATGTACTTTGTAAGGACAGCTGCAGTAAGTAGTAAGAAAAAATATGCAATTTGGAACACAGTGATAGTGTTCAAGCTCTGAATTCTAAGTGATCTAATTGGTTACAGGTGTTTTTACAAATGCATTCTGGGTGCAAGTGATTGATAATTGAATGTGTGGTATTTCAATGGCAGCGTTTAGTAAACAACACAGGCTTTTAGTTTTGAAGATGTGTCTAATGTAGATAACCGTGTGTAGTTATTTGCAAAATAAAGTGTGGTTTTAAATTCAAACTTAAGTAGACAATGTGCTTAAGAAATGAATGCTTAATTTTTTTTGTTAAGACTAATTTTTTACTTTGTGATGATGACAAATACAGGCTAAGAACCGGTGCTGTGGTGTGTGGGGATCACAGATTCAATCTAGAGTGTGGTCTGCAAACTGGTGAAGTGCAGAATCATATTTCAAAAATGGTTAAATTCTAACAACTTATTATAATGCAGGACTTCAAATAACCTAACCATTTCTTCTTTCAAATCAAACAAACTTTGTGTTTTTAAAAAACATATGTATCTCTTTATGTAATGCACATTAAAGTGCTTGCGTTCAAGTTGGGTTTAATTGGCAGTTCCCAAATAATTAGATGCCAAAAGTCAATGATGGTTAAGAAATCCACCAGATAATCTAGTTATTTTTCCTTTTCCTATTTACAGAGTGTTGAGTTGTGAACATATGTAAGATAGAGACTGAAGAGTCTGTGAAATATGTCATGTGTCTTTTGCAACGTGTCCCTGCAATCTCACATGACAAGATTCCTACTACCGACACTTTACCGTGCATAAAACCCAACAACACCTCTTCTCTGTGTGGAAAAATCCTCCTTGTCCAAGACATTTGCCTGGCTTTACTCAGCTACATAACATAAAGGTAATATGGCCGTGGACAGTGGACTACTTTATGAAAAGTTGACTCTATGGGCGGCTTTCTATACACACCATCTGAGTGAACCCGTGGGAGATTTTGCTCAACAGTGTCGCTCGCATGACTCAGACTCCCTAGACCTGCCAGCTACACACTGAGCAGTCTTCGTGTGAACCACAGCTGAATTCATAGGAATGGTAGAATAATGGCACTGGTGAGGATGAGTCAAGAAGAGGCTTACGTAGTTTGAGGTGGATTGCTGGAACTCTGGACATGATGTAAGGTCCTCTCTTCTCCACCGGCCTGATCCCTCCATCAGTGGTCTTCGGTCTTGTGCCATTACTGGGGCCCTGCGATCGGAGAAATCAAGAATAATCTGTATTTCACATTCATGTACAGCGACATGTAATTGACAAGACTATAATATGATAATAACTAAATAGCATCACGTGACAGTTAAATAACAAGAATGTAAAGTTGTTAGGGTTGTCATAAAAAGTCTTTAACCCAACTCCAATGTGATACCAACATAATAATAAAAACAAAACAACGAAACTAATTTATTCACGCATTTCTCTTGTAGGGCAACTCATTTTGCCAGATCTTTTTTTTTTTTTTCGAAAACTCCAAATTTTCCCAGCAGTCCATTCGCGCTAAAAGAACATATAACGTTAATCAATTTCACGTGTGTGTCAGCTCATTAATCACGTCACTCGGTTTCCTTTCCAGTCAAACTTGGCAATGTCCAACGACAGATAGCTTCCATCGACACTAGTTTTGTTAGCATGGCTCAACTGAATAACTGTCAAAAATCTCAGGCTAAGCTAGTCAGCTAGCCTCCCAGTTTCTATTGACAAGCTAGCGTTAGCCGGATTAGCTTTAGCTGACATTACCGACAAAACTTGTGGTTCCGACTGCGCTTCGAGCAGCGTGTCCTTCTCTGGTTCCTCTATGATGTCGTTCATCATCTTGGCGTTAGTTGTCACAGTTTACACCACAACACTGCCATGATGACAAGTGTCCCACCGGCGTGGGACTTTGTTGTTTTCTTCAGGAGCAGGTAGGCACTTCTGTTAGCCCGCTATGCTATACTCAACTTCCACACCACATCCGGGCAAAACTTCAGAATAAAATCCATCGTTGCTTAGCTAGATGTTCTGTAAAAAAACACGTTTTATGTGTGTTGGCCAAGAAGATAAATCAACCGCAATGTTTGGTTTGTGCAGTAGTTTTTTCGTAGTTTCTTGTCACCGAACAATAACCAAACTAAAAGCCTGTCACGCTCATTTTTTAGTTCAACAACATAACGTTAGACGTCAAAAAAATTGTAATCCAGTTAAACTATAAAAAATAAGAAAATAAATTAAGAAACGTGGTATGAAATGAAATAACATCTATTTGGATTTATGTAATTATATTTGTCGTTTTTATTTTAACTACTTCATACAGTGGATGCATTGCATTTCCAGCCTCCTGTCGACATCTGGTGGTTGAGTTGAGAAAAAACCTCGTCTCCTTGAGAAAGTAACATCACGTTCTGCAATGTGAAGCTAAATAAAACAGCAAACATCATCTGATAACATTGTACAACATGTATTTTCTGTGGTTACTGCTTTGTGAAAGCTTCGGCTTCATATAGCTCATGTAGTCACTTCTGCTGTTGGTGTGACCTTACGTACTTCCTTGTTGAAAATAAAAATGTGTATCGATTAAAAGGGGTTCAATTGTGGATAATGTGAGTACTGAACTAAATTTGGGTCTTTGTAGTTTGACCATTAATTAGAGCACAAAATGGGGTGGAAATAGTTGTGGTGTGTTGATGGTCTTAACCTTCCTGCACTTGCATAATAGTCCTTTTTCACGACAGACATTTGTACTTGTCATAGCAAAGGTGTGACTAATAATATCCACGATGACCCCATTCCATGCAAGTAGCCCAGTAAGTTATGCCAGTGAAGAAGTAAGCATATTAGCAGGGAACTCCTACATGGAATGCCACCAACATTAATGATATCATTAACTTGATATTTATTGATATTTCTCTACTACTGCACTTTTACAAAAATGTGCTGTAAAAAAATAACAAAAAAAGGTCCAATTAAAAAAAAAAGGAATCAACAATTTACCTTGCAAGAAAACACAAAACACATTCTTAAATTATTAGTTTTCTTTAATAGGTCCACCATTTTGTACACAACAGGACAGCATGGATTTAATCAACAATATAGACATATTTGACAGAAGAGAATTAGGGGAGCTCATCTCTTTAAATATCAAATGACCTGCGGTGAGAAGAACACACGTTATTTTCAGCTGCAAGTAATATGCAACATAATTCATGATCTGCTGTACGTAGCGTAGGCCAGCAAACTCACACAGGGTTTGAGGCTGTGTTGGCCAGCAACAGTACACATCGACTTCCCAAGTTGTTGTAGTAGTATAGTGCAGTCTCACCTTGACAGCCTATAACTTGTCAATGCCCAGCTCTTCTGGCGTTGAGATGCCCAGTTCTGACAGGGTTGGCTTTAGCTCTTGGATCAGGTAGGGATAGATGTCCTTGTGGGGGCCTGCTTTGTCCTGCAAAACACAAAAAGCAACTAATGCAGAGCATTCTGTCACAGGCCACAACTGCAAACCTGGCAGCAAGAAGCGATGATTAGTCTTAAACAATATAATCTGGAGATGAATTTGCTATTAGGGGGATTGCATTTTACATTTGTATATGTTTGTGGGTCTGTCACTTCACCACAGAAACAATGTTCAACAAAAAGGTTCACGGCAGACCATAAGTGAACCTATTAAGGGACGGTCACTCACCTTAACGGCCTCAAGGATGCGGACGGCGCTGGCCAGGTCATTCAGTCTCCGGCAAGCCCTTAGTGCCGAATCCAGGATCTTGGCCTCGGGTACCAGGTCATACCCGATCAGGGTGTTCATGCCTTTAATTAATGACAAAAAAAAAGCCAAATTACTTTGAAGAATCAGCAATAAGAGCAAATGCAAACAACAGAAGAGAGAGAAAAAAAGTAAAATCTGAACACGGGTCTGATATTTGACTGAATTCTTTTCAAATGAGCCCAACTAGAGCCATGACAATGACCAAACTAGGAACAACGGGAAGAGGACACATCATCGGAATGGAATTAGCACAAATTGTCAACAAAGTCACCTTTCCTCAGTTCCCAGGCATCTATGTCGGGTTTGCTGAAGTAAGTGACCCAACGGGCATCAAACTCCTCGTCTGACTCCACCTTGCCATGGGAGTAACATCTGGAGGCCAATGGAGCTGGAAAACACAAGGCAGAGCACAGAGATGGCTTCAAATGTTTTGAAATATAAGTTTCAAGAACTTACAACAAGTGCATGTAATGTATTAATAAATTAACAGCTTTCCTACTAAACCAGTCTAATTATTTCAAATCAATCCAAACACATCAGCAACACAAGACGTTTGCATGTCTAGAATTGGCCAAATGTTAATTTTAAAATGAGTAAATATATAATATTATTATTACACGTTAACAAGATTAGGAATTTGACCAGGCACTCTCTGCCAACCTTAAACCCTGTTTCCAATTTTTGGCCTTTCAGTCAGCCATAACGGCGTATCAAACGTTGTCCTCTGTGTATTTTTAAGCGTTTGACTATGACAAGGTCACATAGAATTAAAAGAGTCAAGCGGGCAAAACAGAACATCCAAAGTATGCAAAAAGCTTTTAAGTCATATGTTCTTTGTTTTCATAGTAAAATAGTCCTTTCTATAAAACATGTAACAACTGTTCTTATCTTAACCCTTACTCAGACTTACAGCACCACAGTGACATTTGAAAACTGAAGTGCGCTCTGCGCACTTCTTCTTTCAAAGCTCTATCACAAACTAAGCATTTTAAGGAACTCAAATAAAACCAGGTTCCACGTCTGATGCTGTGGGCCTATGAAGCCAATCTAGAACGTGTATCTAATACAGGTCTATAAATGTGGCGTAAAGCTGGTTGGTTTCACTTCCTCTAAAGACACTCGGTGATAAGTCACGTGACTTCTGGAATGCATCCGTGTTCAACAACTTCAATATCAAAAATGACACCCACCCAAGATATGTAGATGCGTGAAGTATTACACCTACTAATAAAGTATTAGAACTACAATTTTGATGATCCATAAGTTATCTCGCACAATGATGTAACACCATGATATCCCAACACACAATTAGGGACTGACATAATTCCAACTCCATAATTTCTGTACAACAAATTAAAGTTAATTTCTATCTCATTTCCTCAACACATCACATTGACACTACGAATCAAACTGAAGTTAACAGCTCATTATTCGAATTACATTTAAATACAATACAAATATTTACATACAATTTCTAGGAACTAACGAAAGTGGATTGCACCTTGTCAGCTGTACTCTGAATAGACACCCAAATACTGTAAGCGACACCTCTAAGGGAGTTCATTTCAGGACAGGTCTTATGGGAGAATATTAGCATCAAGACAGGTCACGAACTAAAGCGTTCAAGGCTTCCACAGTAAACGATATGTACATTTAAATATGTAAGCTAGCTATATACATAAATAATATGGTGGACATTACAACGTGTTGGTAACAGCTGCGCATAAACTGCGGTCACTGACACTCCTGAACTAACTGAGGAGGGTCATCGCAAGGTCGTGACATTTTTGCCAATATTCATTTCGCGGCTCTTCATTTTAAAATACGTTACGTGAGGTGAAACTACAGGAAAACATTCAGGTCAAGACCGCAAGGTTAGCAAACCACAAAAATAATTCAATGTCACCCGAAGCTTTCACCACACAGCTGTACCTAAGCTAGGTGGCTAGCCGAGCCAGCTTATGGTCGCTCTCTTTGTGACAGAGACTGTTTCATTTCGCGGCAGGTGTGTAGAAGCGGACAGTCCTACCTGTGTAGCAGGCTCGTGACCGAGCCAGGCTCCGGGCCCCCGTGGCTGACAGTCGGAACACGGCTCGAAACATGGTACTGCAGTGGGTGCTAACCGTCCTCTGTGTCAAAGAGGGAGACTCGGGGCGGACAAACACGAGTAGGGCAACCGTCGCGGGTCACGTGACTGACGGAGATAGCCGAACGCTTCAAGCCCACACTGCTGATAGGTCCGTTTCGTAACCATACTGTCAGAGACTGCACAGCGTACGTGTGTGTGTGTGTGTGTGTGAGAGAGAGTAACACAGACTGTAGGAAGTGGTTTTGACATAATTAGTTGATTCTAGCATCCAGTGCAAATTACACACACGTGTTTATTTATTCTGCTTCAGGACACTTCCTGACTAATTTCAGATATGACTATGAGAGCTCAACAAATTAATTTACATCATATTGCCACAGCTGTCTCTCCTGAGAGTAAATGGCATCCAGTGTGTAACAGAAAACATCTTAAGGACTGGACCTGACTCTCAGCTCAAATGTTGGTTTGTGTTAGAACGTAGTTTATAATAGCAGCAGTGGCCAAAATATCCTGAATTTTGAGTATAAGTCATGCCCCCAAAACACCGGATCCTACACTTCACATAATGCAACTTGATAGCATCTTTCATTAGACCCTCCATGCCAAAAAGACAACCACATCTTTCAAATTCAACACGTCCAGTTTGTATCGCAATCTTTCTTTTACAAAATTTTAAGTGAGATGAGCTCACAGAAAGAAAAAATAACTTAATTTGATAAAAATTGGTGGAGGGCCCCTTTAACATCGCTGCGAAATTCAACACACAATACCAGCAGAGGGAGCACTTGGTTTAAAAACACCCTTGAGCTCTTAGTGCGCACAAAGCCCGTTGGTTTTATTTATTGGTACAGCAGCAAAATACCTTATATAATAAGTGCACGTGAGGAGCTGAAGAAATGATAGCTTCCACAACAAAACATTAGGTTATCATTTAAGGGGTAAAAGTATGTTGTATTTAATGAACCACAAATTACAATATATGTAGCATTTTTTTTCCATGTTGACAACATTGGATGAAGACATTCATCCATTTTATTTGTCTTTATGTGTATGCACAAATCACATGCATGCACAGCAATCAAGGTATAGCGGATTACGCTGTTGTGTGTATCTGCTGTAGATTCAAGTTCGTGTGTGTGTGTGTGTGTGTGTGTGTGTGTGTGTGTGTGTGTGTGTGTGTGTGTGTGTGTGTGTGTGTGTGTATCAGTGTTCTTAGCGACATGGTAAACCCTAATCCGCTCTAAGCCCAGGGCACCACAGTGGATGTCCATTAGTGTAATGTGCTGGTGCACATCTTTCCTTCTCTATTTCTTCCTCTCTCTCTCTCTCTCTCTCTCTCTCTCTCTCTCTCTCTCTCTCTC